GACTGAAGAGGGCACTCCCTATGCGGTGGGAGTTCGTGTGGATTGGGGGTTGTTGAGGGCAGGAGAGAGAAGAGATTGCAGCGGGCAAGCGTTGGAGGCGGAAGGTTTTGAATTGCTTAGGGTGCCCTTTTTTCTCCGTGGCAAGGCAAGGTCTAGTTACTGGAGTCAAGAGGGCGCCCGAGAGAACAGCTTGCAGCGGGCTGCGTTGCCGGACTGAAAAGGGGACTCCATTTGTGGTGGGGAAAAGTTCACGTCGATGAGGGGAAAGGGAAGACGAGGGGACGGGAAAAGTGCTTAGAATTGACCCTATACTTGAGAGCAGTTGCGGGCAAGCGTAGTTGCCATACTGAAGAGGGCGCTCCCCATGTGGTGGGAGTTCACGTGGACGAGGCAGGAAGGTTCTGACCTTCTTCAGAAATTGTTGAGGGCAGGAGAGAGAACGGATTGCAGCGTTTGCGGTGGAAAGAGTTGCCTACCGAAGAGGGCCTGCGTTGTGACGTACCACTATGAACGTGGACATAGACCATCGTCGCGCTGGTCGTGCTGTGGAAGTGCACTGGCCATGACGGCTTAGACAACGCTGTTCGGTGTCAAGGGAAAAGGGGTCCTGCAGCTACCCCGTTTTGGTGAGAGCGTAGCCACATGCCCGGTGATGACAAACCAAACTAAGGAATCAGCTCTTGAGTTTGCGCTATCTCCTTGCTGTAACAGTCACGTGTGCAATCTTGCGCAGTTATTGAACTGTTTTGTACTTGTGAGACTGCGTGTTGCATCCATACCACAGAGGTTGGCAGCTTGGGGCCATTTGAAGTGGCCAGCTGTTGCTGGAAACCTAAATGAGAACAAGGGGACATCTAATCACGAAAGCCAGCCGTCAACTCACTTGAAACATAGATAGACCAACACACCATACCAAACCTTCCCGCGCTACACAGCTGCCCCTTTTCCCCTCCGCAGCGCCCCGACATCAAGACGCAAAAGGGCACCCCGTCTCAAACCGATTTCCATTCTTTCTCAAGTGACGGCCAAGTCCACTTCACCACTTCCAGCGCCTCTTTGTCCACTCTACCTATTTATACATACATACATACATACATACATATATATATATATATACATATGTGCTCACGAAAGCCTGCCGATAGCCTCGCCCACAGTCCCCCCACGACCGTCTTTGACTGATTAGCAACACGCAGCCGGCAAGCTCACGTAAAACATGTGAGGGCGCCCTTTTCACTTCCAAAACACTCCTGAACCAGGACGAACAAGGGCACCCCCCTTTGAACGATTCTACCTTCTGTTTCTACATCCTATCGCGTACCTGCGATGCCAACTTCACCCCATCTTGCACACTCATCTTGCACACTCAAGTCGCCCCAATATCAACCTCACCACTTCCAGCTGCTCTTTGTCCACTCTACCTATATACATATATGTATCGTCGCCTACCCTACCCATAGCCTCGCGCATGGACCCCACAGCCGTCTTTGCTCACTGATTCGCAACATGCCGCAGGCAAGCGCCCCTCACTTCCTTAAGGTGCCCTTTTTCACCTCCAACACGCCCCTGAAACGGGACGAAAAAGGGCACCCCCCCCAAACCTATGTATTCCACTTTCTATTTCTATATACCCTCTATCAATGTGGCTGCGATGTCAACTTCACCCCATGAAAGTACTCTTTGCCCGATGTTACCCCAATCACTTCATCTTGCACGCCAGGTCTTTGCCCAGGCTTGCCCTGAGGGCAACCCCTAACCCAGAGGCTGGCTTTCGTTTCCTCCCTTCTCAGGTATATATATATATTTCTTTGTATTTCTTTACATGTTTCTTTTGCTTTAGAACTTTTCTTGCTGGGTGCCCCAGCAGCGCCCCAGTAATATTTCAATTCTTTCGGGTCTGGAAGCTTCAGAGGCAAGACGGGACTTAATTGAGGGTGGGTTGGTTCTGAAAGTTGGCCTGTTTCTACAGAAAGGTTTTGGTCTTTGAACCCGCAAAATGCCTGTCCCAATGGTGTGCTGTGCATGTCTGATCTTCACTGATTCTGCGAAGTGTGGGAGGTGGACGAGAGACAGAGACACAGAAACAGAGGCAGAGACAGGCAATCCTCAATAAGTCAGCAATCCGGTCTTCCCAGCAATCGCGGCCATAAGTGGCAGGCTTGATGTGTGTAAATAGTTTTGGATTGCCAGGCAGTGGGGCGGGCAGAAGGTGGTTTTGTGGGTGTCGGGCTGCTGCCTTGATTGGTTGGCTGGGTGTGGCCTGTTTTCCTTTAGCAGCGCTTGTGCCCAAGATCAAGGCGAGCTGTCTGACATGTTTTTTTGGTAGTGATGCTTCGGAGCGCAGGTAGGGTTTGTAGAGGGTAGGTGGGAGCTGGTTGGCAAACGGTTTCCAGCCAAACTGCTTGTGAGGACATCCTTGAAGCCCTCTCTGGCCTCGTAGCCTGTCTTCGCGGCAGTGAGGAACGTGAACGGCAAGACTTTCTCCCGCTCCGGCCTTTCCTTCCTGAAGTACTTCAACAACTGCCTAATTGACGAGTGGGAGTCTGTCATTGTCCACCGCCACAGGTTGCTGGACAAGTTGGTTACGGCCCCACGGGCAGTTGTCCGCAGGGAGGCATCCCCGCATTTTTGCTGCTCTTGCAGATTGTTTTGCTTTTGTGTTTTGAATGTAGAAGTCTTAGAGCACAATTTTCACCATGTGCAAGGTATTGCGATGGTCTTCAGCACTCTTCCCTACCTCATCGCCAGAAGGAAACAAGAGCGTAGCGTAATAGCAATTTCCATGTGCGGGCTTTGGCGCACCACCTGCTCACCTCTAGGCCGGTACTATGCTTTGCGGCTCGTGGGTGACAAGGCTTCGTCAATTACACGTGCTGAACTTTGTGTGTGCTTCCCTCCCTTGACCGGTTTTGGGTGATGCTCGGAAGGACGCAGATCTAGCGAAGGCTCCCGCTGTCAGCTACTTTGTCGCACGAGTTGCTCTTGTTGCTTCCACTTCAGGCAGCAGAGTCTTCGTTAGCAGCTGGAGGACATGAGGCATTTGGTTTTTTCCGCAGATAGCGAGAGCTATTGGGATCCTTACTTCAAGTATAGGAAGAGGTGCTTGCGTGCGCCGCTTTGGAGCCTGAGTGCTAGGGCCGCTGCAGGGTGCCGCTCCAGGGTGCTGCTGCTAGATGTCCATGGCCGTGTGCGCTTTGGAGCTTGGGTGCTGGGGCCGCTGCAGGGTGCTGCTGCTGCTGCCCACAAATATATCGTTTTCTATGTGGGGTCTATGCTTGCCAGCGTAATTCTCCAGAATGTGCCGATTACAAACACAGCATGAGTGGTCGCAGGCACCGCCATTCTTTGCCATGTGCCAATTTCTTGCCCTTCGAGCCATTGGAGATGTAGATGTGGCAGCAAGGCTTCCTAGAAGAATTACTTCTGTTAGAGAAAGAAAGATTGCTCAGAGCGCATGGCTTCTTTGTCCACTTACATGAAGCATTTGATTCGGTGCGGCTTTGAGCGAGTCGGTGCAGGCTTGCTGCGCAGGAAGAGGCCTGCGTCATAAGCTTCTTTGTTTCGCACATGTTTGGCCTTCGCTCCTTGCAAACTTTCCATGGGGTCTATGCCTGTCAGCACTTTGCAGGGTTTGCTGCAAGGAATGCCGCCGCTTGCCACAGGAGATGATATAATTATATAAGTAAGGTCCAACCCTTTGGTCTAAAATAGATCGGCAAGGCAGCACCGACCACAGCAACCTTGAATTTTCAAATCGCTCGCACATTTACAGTTTTGGCTTTATAGATATGAACATGTAGGGAAAGCAACTGAGAGCTTTTGATTCAGCAAATAATTATAGTTATAATCAAAACTGAGATTCATTCCGCCTTCACTTCAGCTTGCAGGTTGGGTAGTTCAAGCTGCAGCTCCACCACGCAACTACTCCCATTATATATTTAATCTACTCGTGTTTGGCAAATCTAGGTTTGAAACCTCAAACCGTGATAGGAAAAATCTGGCCTAAGAAGAAGGACACTAGTTTAATTTATATCCAACTGTGGACTTCTCTAGTCAAGTGACAAAATAATTCTTTTGCCTTTCGCTTTTCCTTTGGGGCTGCAGTTACGACCTTTTGTGTGCAGAAGCTGACCGCTCGCAACATATCGTGCCCACTACACACCAGTAGATGCTTTACACCCCAGAGTAATATATAAGTGCATTTTCGTTGTCAGTTGTCATTGTATATTCACTTGCTGTCTGCTGCGATCGGAGTTCGTTACAGGGCTGCACACTGCACTTGTTCATTGCAGGGCTGCCGGCAGTGCTCTTATCCGTACCTTTGCATTATTCCATGTAGCTAGTGGCCCCATTGAGCCAACATCAAGAACATCAAATGCAACCACATACTAGAGTGCAAATGTACTTGCATACCGCATACCTTCCTGTGGCACGATATGCACCCAAGATGTGTGCCCATCCCCGAACCCCCGAAAGTGGTCCTCCACCCTACCATTGCCGTGCGCTTTGCTGTTAATTCTATTTTCAGGATTCACATGGTTTGACCTTGCTCGGGCAGTGACTCCTACTCAGTTGACGATGAATTTGGGTGTTTTGTGGGAGTGTTGGGAGTTTCCATGCCCACTACGTGCCCAGTGTATGAGGTCTTTCTTGATCAAGCTCGCTCAGGCTGAAGGGCTGGAGTCTGCTGTTGAGGCCGATTCTCACTAGTCAGGTTGCCCAACAACGTGTGAACAAACACATGATTCAGGAGGGTGAATCTCAAGTGCGAGCAGCCAAAAAGCTCAGGGCTGAGCCACTTGCCAAATGTAATACATACAACAACTAGTCAGAAGAAGTTCTTAATTCAACACCAACACAGGCGCCCCCTCCTTTGTTTTTGCTGGCTTGCTAGGCCCCGCTTGACTCATGGCGCTGAAGCTGCGGCTGCACCATCCCTACAGACTTCATTTTGTTCCACCCATCTGACAATTTTAGCCAATACACAAACACACACACACACACTGAAATCAGGTTTTCATGGTCATGCTGGATTACATTCTCAGCACTGCTGTTGAAGGTGCTACATGATGCACACAATGAGCAGTACACTTTATGATGTGGTAGCTTGGTGCAGTTTGTCCAGAAAACCTTTCTACACGCAGGTGCGCCGTTCACAGTCTCAGATGAGATTGCTGATGGCGCAACTTGTTTGGAGTGCGCCAAAATTAGTCAATAAGAAAGCTGCGACATGCGAAGTGAAGCCAAAGCAGGCTTGCTCTTCGTGGCCTTCTTCTTGCAGCCTGTCTCTCTCGAGGTCCTGCTTTTGGCGAGAACGGATCTGGCAGTTCCTGTATAATTACCCTGCTCACTACCTTGCTCTTTACGTCGCCAGGCTACAATGTGGAACCCGTCGGAGCCTCAAGCAGCAATGCTATGATGAGCATGGAAGTGCCAGAAGGTGATCAAACGAGCTGAAGCTCTTCTCCTAGGAGGTGTGTGACACAGCTTTCCGTTTTTGCACCAAGTAGATTTCTTCCATGAAGGCCCGCGGACATCCAGCCAAACATCCTCCCTGTAGAACATGGTACTGGTAGAGTATGACCTGGCCGTAAACATTCAGATAGCTCCTGAACACGATGACCCGGAGGATCTTCCTGTTTACGTGGAGGTCGAATTGGCAACCGAATGAGTTTGCTCCTTAGAGCAAGACGAGTTCTACCGTACCCTTTGCTTCAGCTCTCAGAAAGGAAGACTTGGTGCACGTGTTCTCGGAGCATTGGCCAAGCAGGCACCAGGCATGCAAACCTTCGTGAGTTGTTTTTATGTGCTAAGCTGGAGCATTTGTGCTAGCCTTTGATGGTTTTTGTGCTGACACCTAACGGAGCTCGAGGAACTTCTACCTTGTGGCTCAGACAGCTTGATGCCTCTCTTGCTGTTCGGAGCCAAGCGTTCCTTCAAAAGAAAGGAATGTGACATGTCGATTGGAACTTAAAGATCGTGTTTGAAACATTCTGTAATTTTGCTCCAAGGACTCGAGCGCTGAAAAGCGTGCTGCTGCGGCCCTTGGAGTTTGTGAGCTTCTCCGGGAAGGTGTTTTTCATTCTTGTTTCTTAGTCACAGTCTTTTCAGTCGTTCACTGTATATTCTATTTCCAATGCATTTCTAGGAGCATCAGACCAAGACTCAAAGAGTCATTGCAGGTGTAGATGCAGACGATCCTGCGAAGACTTGCCACAAGGTGCCAAGTCCTGGGAAGCACACCTTGACATGCAAGGGAAACGACGCTGCTCTGAGGTTCTTTCTTTCCTTGTGGCACCACAGATGGAGCAGGTGCCGCAGATCAGATGTAAAGCAATCAAGCAGGCTTGCTGGCAAACCTTGATGTAGCAAGGGTGATCAAGCGGTCAAGAGTCATGAGTCATGACCATTGCAAAGGTAGTTTCACAAAGGAACAAAGACGGGACCTGACACGCGTTTCTCTTCAAACGAGTGAAACACAAGGATGCTTTCATTTTAGGCCAGCACGGTCTGAATTGCACGCTTTCTGGCTCGGTGAGTACAGCCAAGGACATTGCAGCATTGACCGCCGCATGCGATGGGCTCCGGCGCTTGAGCAGGTCTCTTAGCATGACTCCCATCCCGGTTCAGAACCAAAACATGGCACCACTTGTGACTCTAGAGCAGGTCGTGTGAGTTTGCTGTAAAACATGCAGAGTGGATCCTGTAGTCCCAGCCAAAACATTGTTCTGAGTCTCTAGGCGAGCGGAAGCCTTTGGTATGGAACAGCTTGGAGCAGGTTTCACCCCAAGGCCAAGGCAGCAGACTACATCGCTCATATCATCTCATATTCACAGCGCCGCTTCCTTCAGGGAAAGATGTTTTGCTGAATCGAGTCTATGGGTGCCCTCCTCAGAACCCGTGCATCATATATAATACACAGCTCTGCAAGCATATTCCTTCAACTTCTTCCTCTGTGGTTTGTAGATCTTCGCACGAGCTTGTTTGAGCCTTGAACCTCTAGGTTGTCCACTCCCATGATGGAGGCAAATTCAGAAGTGACAAGCAAGGGGCTGAAAGGTTATAGGTGATGCCCAGTGATGCTTGAATTTCTTGTCCTTTTTCTTTTGAGGAGTTTGTATGCCCAGGTGCTCATACAACTGATCTTGTCTATGCAAGGCCGAGAGGGCTGCTTAAAGCTTCAGCTGCAAGAGCTCTTTCTGGTTTGCTACTAGTAAGAATGCTCCTATTAGCGATGCCAGGAGCCCCTAGTAGCGTCCTTGCTCCTAGTAGTAAGGCCAGCAGCCCCTAGTAGCTTTTTTTTTACTATGGAGAGACTTATGCTTCAATTCAAAAGCTTCATGTGAGTGGTGTCAAGATGTGAAAGATATGAGAGGAGTCGCACATGGAAAATCCTCCAGCCGTGCTTGGCCATGGTGTTTGTCAGCTAGCTATTCTGCTCCTTTTCCACTCAATGTTCAGTAGGCGAAACCTCCCTACTTGGAGCAAACAAACCTTCAGGAGTCTTTTCTTCTTGCTGATATTAAAGACAGCTTTGGCTTGGATCATTTGCAAAGGGCTTTTCCCTCTTGCGGCTTGCTGACTGATCACAACAGCGTAACTTTGGAAGACCTACCTTGAGTTCCTTCTTGCAAAGTGACGGGCAAAAGCAAAGATGCATTAGCAGCATCAATTGCCAAGGCATCAAATGTTGTCAATGTCTTCAATATCAAGACCTCGAGCTGGAGTTTAATTATCAACTGGAAGCACCCTCAAGAGCATGCACTCAAGAACGAGCTATGGCCCATGGCACTGTCAAAACGATCAAATATGGACAGCCAACGATGGTAACCAAGGTGCCCTGTCAAGAGTTTTTCTTTGACATAAAGCTGGACACAGCGGAGTTCAGTGAGATAGGATCAGCAATACAGTCAGTCAAGTTGACAACTCAAAGAACACCACAAGCCAACATGAAGACACATGCTTTTAATGCATTGTGATTATGAGAAATCAGAGTTGAGTTCCAATCAAGTCGTCCAACAGCGACATCGAAGCATGCGATGGGGACAGCCAGGGTGCAGTCTGCAAAACTGTGTTTGAAGCTGACATGGACGCTGCCTTCCAAAAAGGCCAAGTTCCAAAATGCAACGATCTCATCATATCGACTTTGTTAAACCATAAGGTCAAACAGCAAATGAATAGCAAGGTGGTAACGTGGTGCGTTGCAACACAACTGTTAGAGATTGATAGTATTCAGGGAAAAATCTCGAGAGGAAGAGCTGAATAGGTTCATATTGTACTCTAGTGTGTTTGTTCCTCGAACCAGCTTCACAAATCACCATGAAGTTCCCATTGGACAACACATCAAGCAGACAGGTTACTTACGCTCCAACTTGTCTCACTGGACTTTGTTAAAGAGGAGAAGATGTCTTCAGAGAAATCATCTCATCTACCCAGGAACGAGAGCCACATGTAGAGCCACCAGCAAGATCGATCCCAAACGGCCAAACAACACTTTTTTGGTACAAACAGGATGCAGCGAACAAATGAAACAATGAGTATATACTTGTATATGACGGGGTCATCGCCTATATATCAACGCGTTTACAGGCTGGAGACCCTCAAATTCATACGCAGATCCAGGGTTGGCAGGCCAAGACAATCCGGGACTGGCACTTACATGGACGAGTCAAGGATGGAGTATATTTTGTCAACACCATCCAGTCCAGGCATTTTACGTCCAATGAATTGGCAACATTAGAGAACAACATCATCGTACAAGCATGGTATACCAACCACCGTTGGCCATGAACAACTTTTACTGAAGAATAGTAGTCAGAGGAATGATTTCTTATCAGCGCAAATGCGCAAGATGTGAAGGCGTCTTTCTTTTGGGCGCTGTCACAGCAACCTTTTCATGTGAAGCAAGTGAGCACCGCACCAAAAAACTTGTACATAAGCTCCCACAATGCTCCCGTCACCAGAAGGTTTTATGCCAAAAGGGCACACCACGAATGATTGGATACTAAAGGTGCCTTTTGCTCTCTCCAATATAATTAGAGCACAAAGAGCATTGTCACTGTCCGTGCAAGCCAATTTCAAGGAATCTATAGCAACGTCTTCAGGTTCTCTGTCAATGGGGATTTGTGGGGTCTTTGCCTCTTCCAATCCTCTGGCGCTTGTTCCATTCTATGGTTTCGGTTTGGGCATGTACTATACTATGTTCCTTTGTTGCGGTACGGGAGCTGGTTATAGTTCCTGTTTGAACATATAGCTTTGTGGACGGCGCAGTCATGATTGCCATAAGTTAGGACTCAGTTCAGGACTTCTTTAGAAGTGGACCTCAGGGCTCACAGTCTCGATAGAGATACCAATCCAATGCTTGGACAGATAAACCAGTATATAATCGCACATATAATGTTGGCGATCGTTCTATGATTAGACTTAGACTGATTAAGTTCATTTTGTTGCCAATACTACAATCATGATTTTCACACCCTTTGCTTTGCGAGGGCTTGATGTAACCCCTTGTCTCCCACAACTTTCCCTAGAAATCTCTACTGGACTCTTGTTTCGAGCAATCTCTATTTCTTTGCACTTTTCTCAATCACTTTTTCTGCACCTGTTTTAGACATCTCTATATACATTATTCTGCACCGGAACCCTTTTGCTCAAAAGGATCCAATTTTTATATTCTCTTTCAAAAAGCATTCCTTTCTCCAAGTAGCCATTGCGAAATGGCAAATACGACGCGGGGCACTTCCTGGACACGATATCAACACCTTATGTCCAAAACGCAGTATGAACATGGCAAGATAACATTGCGGAGCCGTTTCCTTTCCCTACGAAAGAGAGTTAACAGGTGTTTTTGTTTTTTTCCTGTCTTGGAGCTTGCAATTGTCCACAGTTGGCGATTCATCGGACAGCTTGCAGCATGGGATGGTGAGGGTGAGCAGTGCCAGGACCCTAGAACGAAAGCGTGACCAGTGGCCAGCAGTGAACCAATGGAGGTGTCAGATGACCTGTGAAAGCAAAGCTACCGATAGTTATACATATATATATATATATGGAGTTACATTACCATTGCCCGTTCCCTCCAAAGAACAGGCGTGCCATCGCAAGACTTTTGCGAAACCAAACCCCTCCTAGTTTCCTTCCTCAATTAGGACGGCGACCGCAATGAAAGTGGCAGCCAAGAGACAACAGCAATATTAAGGGCAACAACACCACTCACGACGAGGATGTCAAGCGCAGCCCATCGCCATCACCATGACAACGACAACAAAAAACAACAAAACAGAGCAACATGGCACCAAACAGACCAAAACGAAGCGAAACGAAACAAAGCATTCCACTGCACAGGCTTTGACCCCTCATTCACGAAATCAAATTGGACCCTTGTTCATTCACTTCGTTCATTGTGCTATTGTGGGCTCAACTAACCCTGTACTGTACTGTACTGTACTGTACATAGTTTCTGTCTCTAGCTTTGGCAAGTGTTTACCTGTTTACCCCTCACTACGTAGTAGAGAGGCCATGTTTGCCACCTTCCACTACCACAAGACTCTTGGAGGCTTCCCACTCAAAACAACTGTGGCACTGCTTGTCGTTCAGCACAGATCAATCTGATAAACGCTCATGTGTCATGAATCAAGTCTTCTAACGTTTTGCTATTTGCTGTCTTCCATTGCAAGAACTTCAGATTTGCCAATCGGCTGCGGTGGTAATTTGAATCCCAAAACTTGGAGTTGACGCGCATAAATTCTGGTTCTCAGAAGATGTTTGTCAAGCTGAAGCGGACGGTTCTCATGCAGCGAAACTGAAACAGGCAACGAAACGATCTGCACAAATCAACGGCTGCGGCTATGAATCCTCTATCACATTCGTCTTTCACATATCTGGAAATCTGGATACAGCAATTGATAACCGGGAGGATCGTGATAAAAGACACAGTGGTCTTCCTGGCTGTGACTAGAAGCCAGACTTCAAAGTCTAAAGGCGCCTTGGAGGCTTTTTGTAGAACTACAGTGCCTGGCCACTGAGTGCAGTGACCATAGTTCTTCATTGCATAGCTATTATAAGTGGACATATTCCCTCAGCATGGCATGGTCAGATTTGGGCGTTTCATGATGTTTCATGTGGGTTTTTGGCTCGTGGCAGTCGCCTCTGCAACTTCCCGGAATTTGGCGTTGCAGTTGCCTGTTTGTTGAATCACACGATGGGCTCTTCAGAGGGACAAACTTCGACCGTGTGCGGCCCGCTCGTTTGTTTGCACGCACGTGCCAGTGTCCTGTTTTTTTCCCCAGATAGCGAAGCTATAGGGGTTCTTACTTCTCAATGGATGGGTTCCTGATTGCGGAAATTGGCTGCCGCTGCCGCTGCCGCCTTGTTTCCCAAGCTTGTCTCCCGTCATGATTTCGCTCTTGGCTGCCGCTGCCGCCTTGTCTGTGAAGCTTGTCTCCCTTCATGATTTCGCTTTTGGCTGCCGCTGCCGCCTTGTCTCCCAAGCTTGTCTCCCTTCATGATTTCGCTTTTGGCTGCTGCCGCCTTGTCTCCCAAGCTTGTCTCCCTTCATGATTTCGCTCTTGGCTGCCGCTGCCGCCTTGTCTCCCAAGCTTGTCTCCCTTCCCGATTTCGCTTTTGGCTGCCGCTGCCGCCTTGTCTCCCAAGCTTGTCTCTCTTCATGATTTCGCTTTTGGCTGCCGCTGCCGCCTTGTCTGTGAAGCTTGTCTTCCTTCATGATTTTGCTTTTGGCTGCCGCTGCTGCCTTGTCTGTGAAGCTTGTCTCCCTTCATGATTTCGCTCTTGGCTGCCTCTGCCGGCTTGTCTTCCAAGGTTGTCTCCCTTCAAAATTTCACTCTTGGCTACCGCTGCCGCCTTCTCTCCCAACCTTTTCTCCTTTCATGATTTCGCTCTTGGCTGCCGCTGCCGTCTTGTCTCTCAAGCTTGTCTCCCTTCATGATTTCGCTTTTGGCTGCCGCTGCGGCCCTGTCTCCCAAGCTTGTCTCCCTTCATTATTTCGCTCTTGGCTGCCGCTGCCGCCTTGTCTGTTCAGCTTGTCACCCTTCATGATATCGCTCTTGTCTGCCGCTGCCGCCTTGTCTCCCAAGCTTGTCTCCCTTCATGATTTCGCTCTTGGCTGCCTCTGCCAGCTTGTCTTCCAAGCTCGTCTCCCTTCATGATTTCGCTCTTGGCTGCCGCTGCCGCCTTGTCTCCCAAGCTTGTCTCCCTTCATGATTTTTCTTTTGGCTGCCGCTGCCCAAGTTTGTCTCCCTTCACGATTTCGCTTTTGGCTGCCGCTGCCGCCCTGTCTCCCAAGCTTGTCTCCCTTCATGATTTCGCTCTTGGCTGCCGCTGCCGCCTTGTCTGTTCAGCTTGTCACCCTTCATGATATCGCTCTTGGCTGCCGCTGCCGCCTTGTCTCCCAAGCTTATGATTTTTCCCCAGATAGCTCGAAGCTTCAGGGGTTCTTACTTCTCAATGGATGGGTTCCTGATTGCGGAAATTGGCTGCCGCTGCCGGCTTGTCTCCCAAGCTTGTCTCCCTTCATGATTTCACTTTTGGCTGCCGCTGCCGCCTTGTCTCCTAAGCTTGTCTCCCTTCATGATATCGCTCTTGGCTGCCGCCGTCGCCTTCTTCCTCAAGCTTGTCTCCCTTCATGATTTCGCTCTTGGCTCCCGCTGCCGCCTTGTCTCCCAAACTTGTCTCCCTTCATGATTTCGCTCTTGGCTCCCGCTGCCGCCTTGTCTCCCAATCTTGTCTCCCTTCATGATTTCGCTCTTGGCTGGATGTCTCCCAAGCTTGTCTCCCGCTCTTGCGATGGTGTCCAACTTTTCTTGAAGTGCTATCTGGGGTCTATGCCGGTACAATTTTTGCTGATAGGGTTACCTCCCAAGGTTCAAGGTGAACCTGTTGTGTTGGAAGCCGAGGCCTAGACAAGCTCATTTCGATTGGCCAGAGGGACATTAGTGAAGAGGACCTGTGCATTTCTTGTCCACTTGCCCACCCTTTGGAACGATGCAATGACGCACGGACCAGGTTGCATATTGTTCCATGATGTGACACCTCTGCTTGTCGAGGCCCTTGCGGCGATGGGCTTGGCATTGTGCGCTGCAATTTCCAATCCATCTGAGCCGCAAGGTCGGGACAGAATCCTTCCAAAGGAACAATGCAAGGATGAAAAAGGATGCATTCGGATACAACTGCTGTTCTTGGATTGCCACCTGGGCTTCGAGGAGAGGTAGCTACTTTTCGTGCTGGTGGACTCATGCATCGTTTGCTGAAGATGGCCAGTGGCTCGCTACCGTGAAACAAAGGTGAGATTGGGGATTTGTGAATGTCCTTGAAGGCTGGTGATGAAAAGAGTGACCGAGAAAAGGTGGAGGAACACATTGAGGCGAAGCGATGTTTGTTCCTTCAATTCCGTTCTTGGGTTCTTCATATGCCATTGTGGCACTTGCACTGTGTGCACACTGGTGTCCCCTGACTAAGTTGTGCCTTGTTGAGGATGGAGCAGCATCCCTGGCCCGGAAGCGTGCACTCGCGGTCCATGTCTTGGAGTCTTTTGGATGAGTGCAGACCTGCTCGAAGTGGAAGATTCAGAGAATTGAAGTGAGGAAACTCATCAAACTCCTTCTTGCGCTCCCCTGTGGTAGGCAGAACGTGATGCCGAGCAACGCTGTGGCGTGACATGGTGGGGATACGCTTATCGCGTTTTGCAAGTGGTTTCAACAGATAGGAAGAGGAGGAGGAGCAGGAGGAGGAGCAGGGGGAGAAGCAGAAGAAAGAGGGCAAGCTGAAAAAGTTTCATTCGGGATACCTTACTTCACCTTTTGCAAACCCCATAACGCACCATACACCTCTCTTTTTTGGCTCCCGTGCTTATTGATTGTGTGTCTCTGTCCTTGCTTGCTGAGCGGTTGGTTGGCTCAGCTTGGCTTAGCCTGACTTGGCTCGACTGCGTTTTCTCGTTTCTCTTTGAAGCGGCCGCTGCAAGATATCACATATCATATGTATACTAGCCAGGAAAGAGAGATGACAAAATATCCAAGAGAGAAGATGTAAGAGAGATGTTGCGTTCAATTCTTTGAGTTCAAATTTGAGGAATTTCTGCATCCGTGGTTTGGGAAGGGTGTTTGGGAGGCTTGCCATTCTGGTGCGGCAGTGGTTGCCTCGCAGCTGCAGCAATTTTGCCCACCAACTTACAACACTTTCAGGATGGCGCAAAACCGTCTCAGCTTGCCAGAAGACACTACACTGTCTCTCAGCCACAACCTCAAGGTTTTTCCATTGGAAATCCAAAATCCCGCGTGCAATCCTATGCCCAGGTCGTGCCTTTGTCCGTTCCATCAGTGGACTCTCGATGTTCGTGGCCGCCAGACCCCCAAATTGAACGATGCACATCTCTTTGACCCGAGCTATGACCGTAGGACTGCGGCCTCAAGTCGCTCTGCAACCTTTACAGGCGTAAGTGAACATAAGAAAAGTTTTGCACGCACTTACCTGGTTGCTGTGGAGGCTGGTGACGGCAGAAGCTAGGCCAGAATTTTTGAAGGCCCCCACCTTGGCAGAGACCATGCAGCTGCTCAAGGACGCATCAAGTTTTTCTCTTTTGAGCAGTGACCAGGCCCTGTTCTCTTCCATCTCCAATCGAACTGTTGTGCTGGGCTCAGTAGAGAGACGCGATGAACGCATAGCAGCGCACACCAATTGAAAGGCAGTGATAAACAATGCGTGGTACTCGTAGGTGAGCAATATGTTTGTCGGAACGCCTGACACACAGGCACCGTTTGTTCTATGAGTCTATGAGAAGTCTGGACCAGACTAAATTTTAAAGCGCCCACTGGCCAGGCAAGGAAGGAAGAGAAGGATAGCAAAGATTCAGGTGGCAAGCATTTTCTTCTGGAGTAGGGTTTCAGGAGCATGCTCTTGTTGCGCTTGTTCTCATCAGAACAAACCCTGCCATTGAGTCAAGGCGGGCCTAATTCCTGGAAGATAGCTGCCAAGGAGCTTTTTCTGAGTCTGCAGCGCTTTGCGAACCAGGGTGTTTCCTGCAAGGAAAGAGTCGACATGGTGAAGGACCTGATGTTCTTGGCAAGAGAGCTCATGCACCCGCAGCAGCCTCAAATGATACATATATAGTTATGAACACCACTTAGGACTTAGGCTATCTCTGATGGTTTTGCAAAAAAAGCAAAAAAGGCAAATTATCCCGGCAAGAGACCCCAAACAGTGTGTGTGAGGCCTATAAGCAGAAAGTCTAGAGATCTAGACGCATTGGGGTCCAGAGAGGTGATGGTGGTGATGAAGGTGGGGATCGTGGTGACAGTGGCGGTGGTGGTGAGTAAGTGTGCGTGTGCGTGTGCGTGTGCGTGTGAGTGAGAGTGAGAGTGAGAGGGAGAGTGAGTGTGAGTGTGAGTGTGAGCGTGAGTGAGTGTGTGAGTGAGAGTGAGAGTGAGTGTGAGTGAGAGTGAGTGTGGATGAGAGTGAGTGTGAGTGAGAGTGGGAGTGAGAGGGAGTGTGAGTGTGAGTGAGAGTGGGAGAGTGAGAGTGTGAGGGAGTGCGCGTGTGAGTGAGAGTGGGAGAGTGAGTGAGTGTGAGCGTGCGTGCGAGTGTGAGTGAGGGTGGGAGTGAGTGAGTGAGAGTGAGAGTGAGAGTGAGAGTGAGAGTGAGAGTGAGAGTGAGAGCGAGAGCGAGAGCGAGAGCGAGAGCGAGAGCGAGAGTGGGAGTGAGTGAGAGTGAGAGTGAGACTGAGAGTGAGTGTGAGCGTGAGTGTGGGTGTGAGTGTGAGTGAGTGTGTGAGTGAGTGTGTGAGTGAGAGTGAGGTGAGAGTGAGTGTGGATGAAAGTGAGTGTGAGTGAGAGTGAATGTGAGTGTGAGCGCGAGTGTGAGTGAGAGTGAGTGTGAGTGTGAGTGTGAATGTGAGTGTGAGTGAGTGTGCGTGCGAGTGTGGGTGTGATCATCTGACAGCACAAAGTGCTGCGCCTGCGCCGAAATCTGCACTTCGAGGTTCACCAAGTGCTGTGCCTGCCACGAAATCTGCGCTCCGAGGTTCACAAATTGCTGCGCCTGCCACGAAATCTGCACTTTGAGGTTCACCAAGTGCTGTGCCTGCCACGAAATCTGCACTCCGAGGTTCACCAAGGGCTGTACCTGCCACGAAATCTGCACTTCGAGGTTCACCAAGTGCTGTGCGTGCCACGAAATCTGCGCTCCACCAAGGGCTGTACCTGCCACGAAATCTGCGCTTCGAGGTTCAGCACGTGCTGTGCCTGCCACGAAATCTGCACTCCGAGGTTCACCAAGGACTGTACCTGCCACGAAATCTGCACTTCGAGGTTCACCACGTGCTGTGCCTGCCACGAAATCTGCACTTCGAAGTTCACCAAGTGCTGCGCCTGCCACGAAATCTGCACTTCAAGGTTCACCAAAGTGCTGCGCCTGCCACGAAATCTGCGCATCGAGGGTCACAGAGTGCTGTGCCGGCCACGTAATCTGCACTTCGAGGTTCACAAAGTGCTGGACCTGTCACGAAATCTGCACTTGGAGGTTCGCAAAGTACTGCGCCTGCCACGAAATCTGCACATCAAGGGGCTGCCACGATATTCGCAAACGAGCCACATGTCCAAAAGTCACGATTCGCTGCACCTGTCACGAAATCTGAGCTCCTCAACGATCACCACCAGGTCCAAAGTGCTGCACCTGCCGCAAACACTGCATATCGAAGTGAAACAGCTCCAATCCCTTGCACCTGTCACGAAAAGTCGACTTTGGAGCATCAAAACACGAGGTTTTCCCTGCGCCTGCCACGAAAAGTGACCACCGTGTACCAAAATGCGCACGGCACCGCAGCGAGCGGGACGATGTCGAGAGGCATGAATGTACTGCAAATAGCAGCGAATTAGCCGGTCACGGCCGCGCGCTTCAGGGATTTAAGCGTCAGCTGCTTGTCACTTACCGTAAGAACCCCTATGGGGAAAAAACCAACTACCAAAAGCAAAAACAATAAAAGGACCGGATAACCCCACATGATAAGTTTTACAAATTCCAAATGTATATGAACATCATATGGGAGACGGAGTAGTGAGATGAAAAGTCAAGAACGAAGTGTGAGGAGAGAAGGTATATGAGGCGGTTGTGCTAAGACGTGTACTATAAGTGATGATGTGATGGACGAGGAGGGGAGGGAGGAGGTGTGTGTGTGTGGTAAGATGGCGCGCGTATGTGTGTGTGTGGGTGTGTGATAAAGTGTCTGATGATGTGATGAACAAGGATGAGAGGGACGAGAGAGAGAGAGAGAGAGAGAGAGAGAGAGAGAGAAGGAGGCGGAGAGAGAAGTTTGGAGGCTCTGGATTTTGCGATCAGATCCGCGTGAGACCTTCACAGATGTTGGCCAGATCCGCATCAGATCCGCAAATGCAATCGGCATTTCACAGATGTTGAAAAGAAACATGTCATGAAAACATGTAAGTAAGTGAATCAAAACATGTCTGCTGCAACCCCGTGAGTTTTTGTGATGACAACCATTGCCAGAGAACTTTCAAAACAAGATTCGGAACGGTCGTGCAGGCTAAACTAGAGAACTGCAAATCACAATGGCAGTAGCGCAGAGACAGGCTTCACCAACACCCTCGCCGCAGCATTTACAATGCGGTTCGCAGGCATTGATTGCCCTGGCTGTGCAAATCAAAATGGCAGTAGCGCACAAACACACTCTGCCAACTTCCGTGCCGCAGCCATTACAATGCGATTCCGAACCAGTGAGAACCCTTGCTGTGGAAATCACAATGGCAGTAGCGCACAGAGTTGCAAACATCCGTGCCGCAGCCATTACAATGCGATTCCGAACCAGTGAGAACCCTTGCTGTGCAAATCACAATGGCAGTAGCGCGCAATCACAATGGTTACTGCGCCTGCCACGCGGAGGGCAGCCAGCGGCACCAGCGGCGACAACATGCGCCGCAGCCCCTTCTGGAGGCTCTGGAGAGTGCGAGGCCAGCGAGCGGGCAGCCAGCGGCACCAGCGGCGACAACGCGCGCCACAGCCCCTTCTGGAGGCTCTGGAGACTGCGCCTGCCACGAGGACAGCCAGCGGCACCAGCGCGCGCCGCAGCCCCTTCTGGAGGCTCTGGATACTGCGCCTGCCACGCGGAAGGCAGCCAGCGGCGACAACGCGCGCCGCAGCCCCTTCTGGAGGCTCTGGATACTGCGCCTGCCACGCGGAAGGCAGCCAGCGGCACCAGCGGCGACAACGCGCGCCGCAGCCCCTTCTGGAGGCTCTGGATACTGCGCC